AGTAATGTTAGTAATAATGATAATAATAGCAATGATGATAATTGTAGCAGTGACGATAATAGTAGTGATGGTAATGATAATCATTAAAATAATGCAAGAAATATTAATAGTAATAAATTCTTTTAAATAAAAAAATAAAAAGCATTTGAATTTTAAATAAATTGGTTATTTTAGCATTTAGGTATTCAAAAAATTTGATAATGCTTATTTTCAGATACTAAAAAAAATGATAGTACTTATTTTTGAGTAATGCCTATTTTCAGAGAAATACGGTACATATCATATATATATCATATATACAAATAATCATCATAAATAAAATAATAATTTTGAAGTCAATGAAAAATACTTAATAATATTTAATTTTTGAAAAAAAGGAAAATGTATGATTTTTTCATAACAAATAATCTATACTTGTATGATTTTTAATTGTATATAACATATATATACTATATTTATAGTATAAATATATCATGAGTAGATAAGTTTTATTTTTTTTATAGAATTCTATTTTTTACTTAGACAACTTAGACAGAATATAATAAGTATAGAAGAACAAGTTAAAATAAAATTAAACCTTTTTCTTTTATAACATCATCTGTTCAAGTTAACATATTTTACCTAAACAGAACTTAAATGATTTTTTTTCTTAGATATGAGCAAATCTGTTTAAACGCATTCTAGGATAATAAATATAAGCAATTACATTTTAATAGCATTTACGATAATATAACTAGATAACACTTTTCAATAGTATTTATGTAATATATTTAATAGCATTTTTTGATAGCATAGCCTAATAGCATATACATGATAGCATTATCGATAACATTTACGTGATATATTTAGTATATATATTTGGTAATATTAATCAATAGCATAACCAGATATTATATATATAGCATAACCAGAAGTGTGTATATAGCATAACTAAATAGCTGTATATAGCATACTTGATAGTATATATATAACATACCTAATAGCATATTACTCTGGCTATATGCCTTTACAAATAATGCGTAAAACACAACTGGCTCATTAAACTCATACCTGACAACACATTTATAAGTTATGGTATACAATAATTCATTATCAAATCTAAAATTAGAGAATTTAGAACTTTATTTTTTACTATAATAACTAGAAATACTAAGACAAAAATAATTAGCTCCAGAAAGTTAAAAAGCTAGCCTTAGTTATATTTTTAGATAAAATTTTACTTTAATTTTTAATGTAATGATTATTGATTTTATTGTATTGCATATTTTTAAATTAAAGGTTATATAACTTAAAACAGCTAAATAATGTAAAAATATATGTTACAATCTTTAATTTAGAATCCTGATGAAGTTTATTATATAATATTATAATAACAATTGTTAATGATATTGTTTTATTTAAATAATATATATTATTTTATTATTTATCATTTGCAAATGACATTTTTTTTCAAATAATATAAATTCTTATATTATTTTAATATTATTTTATATTATTTAAAAATTAGTTAAATGATAATATTATTTGATATTATTATATTAAATAGTGTTAAAAGCTATATTAAATAATATAATTTAATAAAATTAGTTTAAACATAGAAAATTCACTAAGTAAGAGAAAGATCTTTCTCATAAAAATAATCTGATAGCTTTAATGCTCTAAACAATTCAGTTCAGTCTGAATTATAGGCTAATCTGAAACTGAACTGAAAATTTTGGTTTGATTTAGTTCAGATTATAAATTTTAAAAATGCTAATCTGAAACTGAACTGAATTGTAAACTGATAAAAATCTGAATTGAACTGAAAATTTTAGATTAATCTGAAATTTTAGATCATTTGGAATGATTAAATTTATTGTTTCAAAAAAATAATAAAAGAATCGTTCATTTAGAACGATTAAAGTTATCGTTTCAAATGAATGATAAAAAAATCGTTTAATTAGAATGATTAAATTATTATTCTAAAAGAATGATAAAAGGATCGTTCAATTGGAATAATCCAAAATTTTAGATTAATCTGAAATTTTCAGTTCTGTTCAGATTTTTATCAGTTTACAGTTCAGTTCAGTTTTAGATTAACATTTTTAAGATTTATAATCTGAACTAAACTGAATTGAAATTATCAGTTCAGTTTTAGATTAGCTTATAATTCAGACTGAACTGAACTATTCAGAGCATTACACCCTTCTAACTTTGTATATTTCTCAGTTTTAGTTACATATTCTTTTGCAGTTGTAACTCTTGCTTTAATTTCAGTATCAAAGACTATACTAGGTTATATTTTATATGACTATTTTGAAGCATTGTAGGAATATAACCAGTTATAATGCTGCATATCATCATTATATTTTCTCTTTCATTGAATTTGAGATAATGATAATATAGCAATATAAGGATCAAGTACTTTTCTTAGTAAATTTTTTAGCTAAAAGAAGAAAATAAGAAAGAATATTAGTGAAATATATTAAATAAATTTGAAATATGCTAAATTAGATAAAGAAAATAATAAATCTTAGCCAATCACTAAGAATAGTTATATATAGCGATAACAGAACTTTGATGATTTTTTTTATTTGTTTCACTGATTTTTAGTAAATAGTATAAACGATCGCTAAGAATTCAGAGTAAAGGTCACCTTTCATATTTCATAATTTATTGGTCATTTTCTTTAACAAATATTTTGTGATCTTTACTCACTGAGCTGTTTTCTAATAAATAATAAATAATATTAAATTATTAATTCAAATAAATCCAAATTTGGAATATATTCTATTTGTTTACTTTATGTACTTGATTATTATTATAAATTTGTCGTAGCTTTGAAGGACCCTTTCTGCTTTTCTTAATTCTTTGAGCTGACTAATATAACTTATGAAGGGTTTTCGATCAGTTTGTAAGTTAGTCAATAGAAGACTGAAAATTCAGAACCAAAGACTTTTGTAATTTTAAAATTAGATTATAATGTAATGTAACATTTTTCTTACTATTGAAAGATTCATCATAGTTTAAATCATCCTTGCACTAATAGTTTTCAAAACTGCCTTTATTTTAGTTTAAATACGAAAAGCAAAAAAAAAATCAGCTAAAAATTTAAATTATTTAAATATAAATTTAAACATACTTTAGCTCCTTTATTTTAGTCTCTTCTGTTATTAAATTATCATTATTCTTAGAATTGTTTTGTAATAATTCCAATTTATCATCAGTACAATACATTGGCTTTTTTCCCTTTGATTTTGATGACAATTTTCTGATTTTTTTTCATTTTGCAAGAAAATTAGCATTAGACTGTCTCAATGATCTAGACAGCCATAATCTCTTAAATTAGTTAAGTCTTAAATATTAAAAAAGAAAAATTAGTTATTGTAAATATAAGATATTAGTATACGAATTTTTACCTTTTCTGTAAATCTTTATTTTTCTTACTGAATATCTCATTTATTTTAGCAAGAAATCAGTTTTCCCTTAAGAGATCAGAATTTTATTACTCTAATTTCTCGATTCTCTTAGTAAATTTGGCAAGTTTTTGTTTTAACATTTGATTCTTTATGTAGAAATAAAGAAAATATATTGTTAATTATAAAATAATAAATAGAAATAAATCAAAAATAATATACCTGATTCTAAATCATTCAAATTATTGAAAATCTTAAATTTAGCCACAGCTAAAATACTTGTTATTGATTGTTATCAAAATTTTGATAGAAGCTGAATTTCCCTATATTGTTTTTGCATTTCTCCTAAATTTACGTCTATAATTTAAAAAGTTATTTAGTATTAATATAAAATAGTATATATGATTAACTTATAATCTAAAACAATTGGTTTATTATCAAACAATATTATATAGACGCATTTTTATCTTTTTTCTATTATAGAAAAGTAAAAAATCAATTATTATTTAAAAAATTGACTAGTTGATTGATAAAATTCAACTTATGTTCTAGCTCTTTATCAGTTAATTTTTTTCATTGAAAATATTTTGTTAGTGTTGTTACAACTGAGATTCTATTATAGAAAAGCAAAAAAAATCAGTTATTATTTGAAAAATTGATTGGTTGATTGATAAAATTTAACTTATGTTTTGGCTCTTTATTTGTCGACTTTTTTGTTAGAGAAGTTTTGTTATTGCTATTGTTGATTGAGATTCTATTATAAAAAAAGCAAAAAAATTATTATTGTTTGAAAAATTAACTGGTTGATTGATAAAATTTAACTTACATTCTTTTTGTTCTTGTAACAATTTTTTTGGTTGGCGTTTTGGTAGCATTTTGTGAAAAAGAAATTATAAAAGAAGAAATTTAATTATAAAGATAAAATTTAACTTTAAAAAGATGAAGTTTGAGTTGAAATTATTTTTTAAAAAGTGGAAAAATCAAGCTTATTTATATAAATTTTTATATATATATTAGAAATAAACTCAAATAATTATATCAGATAATGCATTAAATCAATATAATACTTAAAGTAAATCAGAAACAATTCATCAATACAATTAATACTTTAATTATGCATTAAATAAGACTTAAAATAAATCAGAAATAATTTATCAATATATTAAATCAAAACAAATTTAAAGATAATTCTTTTATTATGTATTAAGACTTAAAGTAAATCAGAAATAACTCATCAATGCAATTAATACTTTAATTATGCATTAAAAAATACTTAAAGTAAATCAGAAATATTTATCATTATACAGTCATCACTGAATATAATGAACATCTTCATTTCAGAAAAATTCATTTATTATAGAGAAAATTTATTATATAAAATTTTATTATATATTGAACTGTTCAGTATATACTTTCATCTAATAAAAATTTAAACATATGAACTTATTTTTATTATTTATTATCATTAAAACTTTATTTAACTATATCATTATTAAAGTAATGAAGATTAACTTGTTTATAATATTTTATAACAAGTAATTTAACCTGTTTATGCAACTTTCTTAAAATCCTTAATTTTTCATTTACTTTACCAAATTTGGGACCCTACTCATATAAAAATTTCATAGTTTTGCTTATAGCTTTTTCTGCTTCTATTAGACTAACTTTAGGTATAAATTCAATTTTGTCTAACTTAATATAATCATCATATTTATTTGAATTTAATATAGAATCTAATATTTCATTATCAGTAAGTCCATCTTCTAGAATCTCATCTTCAATATAAATAAACTCATATGCATTTAGATCACTTTTTGGAAGTTGAGAAATTAAAATATTAAGTTTATTAACCTTAGTATCAAAATTAAAAAATATAATTATATAAGAAATTTCATGTATTAAAGTAAAATTCATATTTATATATAATAACATATCATTTAGAATCAAAATCCTTATAATTTTCATCATTTGGTAAAAGAATTCCCATTTTTTTCTAACAATTTAAAATTGTTTAAAATGAGACTATCGATTATGCTTTAGCTACATTTAACAAAGTATTATAGATAGTATAACTAAAATTTCCTTCTACAACGTTATTTTATAGATCATTGTATGCATAAATATGATCTTGAATAAAAAGGCATTTATAGTAACACTTGAATAAATGGATAATACCTATATTGCATAGCTGAAGCTTAGTTATAGTATTTGATAAAAGGAATTTTACAACTATACTATTTAATTTCTTTTGAGTCTCGTCTAAAATAAGATATATAGGAGTATTATTAACTAAAAATAATTTTTCTATTTTTTTTTTCATTATTTCATTAAACTTGAGAAGAATTTTATTGAAGATACTAACTTGTATCCATGACTTTTTATTTCAAAAATAGTATATTAAAAGATTTCTAATATTAATATTTTTCATTATATAAGGGGTTTTGTATTTATGAATAAATATAAGATTCATTTTTTCAATTCCAGATGCATTGACTGTACAAAATATTGTAACTTCAATTTTTTCTTTTTTATGTCCTGAAATAGGTTTACATGCTAAAACCTTAGAAGGTCTTATTTCTATTTCAGATATCTTCAGGATTGTAAGATACAAGAAGTTATAGAATAAGATAGTATCTTTCTATAAACTCAGCTGATAGTGCACTTCCAGCCTCACCCTACTTTTATATTAATACAAATTATGTCATTTTTTAAAGCCACCTAATCATTCTTCTAAAGAATTAAATCTTTTATAGATAATTATCTGGTAAAATAATTTGCCTTCATTTTCAATATATTATTATCAATATCTTATTTCGTGTTGAATGCATTATCAACTTAAAGATCAAATGCGTCTTCAAGTTAAGATCACTTTGAATTATAAAACTTCTTAATATTTTCTTATCCTTCTGAAATTGCAAGCTAACGCTCCTTTTCATTTAATATATCTATAATATTTGCAAAACTACTGTATTTTTTTAAAAAATATAAAATTCAACTAAAATTGTACTCAAAAATAACTCTATTTCAAACTTTTATTTTCCTCTTAATTTCTCAATTATAAAATAAAAATGAGCTAAAAAAGGTCAATTTATAAAATACATGATGATGATGATGATAATTCATCTAATTAATCTTCTAATACATCTTCTTATAAAAGAAATAGATCAATTTTTAGATTAATCAATAAAGAAGATATTTCTACTTTTCAATCTTCAAATACACTTTCTCATAGAAGAACAAGTAGGTTGATTGGTGATTTAACTGATAAAAAAAATATATCTACTTCTAGGCCATCAACCTCTCATAATACTAGTGTTAGATATCAAGATTTACAAAGTTCAACTGGTTAAATTATAAAAATCGTCAAATATGAATCTGATAATAAATATTAAGAAGATTTTAATTCTACTTTTTTACCTTAGAAATATATAAGAAAATACACAAATCATCTAAAATCTGACATAAATCCTTCTGATAATCCTGAAATAGAAGCCAATCAACATTCAGAATCTTTGGAATTTACTACTGAAGAAGATTATATTACAAGTAAATCTGAAGATTATGCATCATTAGATTATGAGCTATTTTAAAATCCATCAAATACAGATCAATTGATAACTGATTTTTGTGGATTTTACTTTGAATCATATTATTTCAGACAAGATTTAACATTACAAAATCTGTAACTGAAGTATTAATAAAATTTATGAAATTAGTTCTGATAGAAATCAGAGGTAACAAATTTAGAAATTTTTCAAATTCAATATATTTAACGAAAAAAATACTTGGATTAAATAACTGATTTCATCATTTTGTTCCTTATTCCAAATATCATAAGCTGTATCAAAAACAGAAAATGATGAATTTTCAACAAAATAATATGTTAATTGTAATAAAATATTAGCATGTAGAATTTCTCAATTTATCAATTTGCAAAACACAATTTTGCAATACTCTATTATCTCAAAAAATCGTATTGACAAATCGAACTTTAATTCAATCTTATTGATCTTTTCATTTTCTGGAATTCAATAATAACTCATTTTTATATATTATCAGCCTAATTTTGAAACTAGCCTGAGACAATAGATAAATTATTAGCGTTTTAACAATATTATGACTGATATACATAATGGTAAAGTATAGCAGACGTTAAAAGAATCTTCATAAGAAGATTTGGCAAATTTTTTTCAAAATAAAGTGGCTGATTCTCATCTTAGATTAATGTTAAACTTTGATTAGTTTTAGCCATATAGTAGTACTATTTATAGCATCAGAGTAATATATACTGCTATATGCAATTTGCCTCATGATATCTGATTTAAACATAAAAATTTACTAACACTTGGTCTTTTATTCAGACTAAGCAAAGTTAGTTTATATAAAATAAATCATTATTTAGCGCTGATTATAGATGAATTAAAATCATTTTTGAATAGATTTACAATTGATAAAACATATAAACATTCTGAAGAAAAGAATATTTATATAGCTTTAATTCTTATTTTATGTGATGTACCAGCTACTAGAAAAATATGTAGATATATTTCAGCCTTAGTATTATATCATAGATATGAAAAGAAAGCAAATTATAAAATTTATTAGCATTATTTTGCCAGAATGGATAATATTGATGATTGGTTCATTATGCAAGATCTAATTAAATATCATCAAAATATGTTAAAATAGAGATATTGTAATTTAAACACTTCACAGAAATGATTTATAAAATAAAGTAGCGTAAGATAGTTTGAATTATTACATTTGTTATATTTTGATCCTATAAAATATATCACAATCGATCTAATGCATTGCTATTTTAGATATTACATGATAAATAGTAAAATGAATCTAGATTGATAAAGGAATTTTGATATCAAATTCTCTGAATAAGATTTAGAAAAAGATGAAAGAATTTCAGATTCTTTCTGAATTCTGGGTAAATTCATGAAGGAAAAGAATTTTCTAATTTTACAGTAGATAAGTGGTAAATATATTTCACTGTATATACTACTGTTTTATTTTAGAAATATCTTTCGATTATAGATAGAAAGATTCTTATACATTTCATAAGAATTTGTACAATTTTAATAAGCTGGATTGTAGAATCAGATCTATTATATGAAACACATTGAAGACTAATTAAGATGATAAAGTTGATTGAAAATAATCACAAGTGTAACAAAATCACGTTAAATCTTCACCTTTCTCTCTATTGTACAATTGCTCAAGAAAATATAGTTTATTATATGCATTTTAGTATTTTTCTTTTGAATGCATGAATGAAATATTAGGTATTTTTTTTTAAAAATTTCTTGAATAAATTAGCTTACTAATTTATAAATGATTTTTAGATTCTTTATTAAATAATAATAGAAAAATTGAATCTGAGCTAATGCATCGATTAATATTTAATATTCAAATCAGCAATATTACAAGTTCTAGTAGTATTGAGATAAAAGGGCTTAAATTATTAGACAATCAGTCTTCAATTGGTTTTCTTTCAGATATAAACAAATTTTCTTCTAATGAAATCTATTGATTTTAGATGAATTTATAAAATATTAAGAAATCAAATATTATTAGTAGTAAACCATTTTTTAGCAAATTTCTTAAACCATCATCTGATAAGATAATTATTTCAAGCGAAATGCTTTATTTGATAGTTGAATACTACAATGCAACTTATATCACGTTTGATTTTAAGAAGCCATTTGATAAGGATTCAGAAGATGGTATAACGATTCAGGTCAAAATGAATCAATTCAGAAGGTATCAAATTGGTTCTGAAATTTTTAGATCATCAATGTCTTTACGACATGTAAAAAATTCATATATTTTAACCAAATTTATTACAAATGATGGTACAGTTGATTATTATCCTGGCCAAGTCTAATATTATTTTACATATAAGGTCAATTTGCCATTTAGACAGACTAAATATTTTCTAACATTTGTTTATTAGTATAAATTTGCAAGTTTTTCAAATAAGCGGTATTATTTTAGTGAAGAAGAAACATATAATATCAAATTATGGTATACTAAATTTTATCCAGAAAGTTATGATTATATAATACCAGTTCATCATATTTTGAGTCAATTTGTACTGATTAACTATCAAACTTCAGCCTGACAAAATGCAAAAGAATATTTGGCTGTTAATCTAATTAATAGAAAATAACATTTGTGAAAATAAATTAAATATTTTTAGTATTATTTGGCTATTAATCCTAAATATTTCCTTCTGAATTTTATTTTATTTTGAAATATTTTAGCCTATTTTGATGTATATCAATTAAATGTATATCAAATGTTAATTGGTTATAAATAAGATAGATTGAATTTTGGCTGAATTTTGGCTGACTTCTAATATATGCCAATCAGATGTAAATCAACTATAAATAAGATAGGTCAAATTTTAGTTAATTTTGATATATATTAATCAGAGATAAATTGGATGTCAATCAGCTATAAATAAGATAGGTTAAATTTTAGCTGATTTTTGATGTATGCCAATCAGCAATAAGTATGCTAATCAGCTATAAATAATATAGGTTGAATTTTAGTCAATTTTTGGCCAATTTCTAGTATATGCCAATCAGCTAGACTAATTTTTTTATAATTTGCCAAATTTAAGCTGATCTTAGGCTGATTTTCACATGTCTAATTTTTTTGATTTCGATCAGTGTTACATCATATATGTAAACTCTTTAAATATTTAGTAATTATCTAATTTATTAATTTTAAAAAATATAAGTTATTAATAATATTACCTTTTTCTTTATCTTTTTAAGATAAATAAATATATATACTGATCTATAAATGATATGTGTAACTATATTATAATTACTATATTATAAGATAACTTTTTTTAATAATTTTTTACAGCTCATTTCTATAACTAAATAAAATTA